TAGTCACCATCCACCAATTAACTTATAATTAGATGCCCAGAAATCTTCAAAGCATCTGAACAAGAAGCCGACATGTCAACCTGATGCCGAGTACTTCCATCCAATCAATCGACGAGAAAATCTAAAATTGATTTAAAAGTAAATTATTGTTATTATTTTATTATTATTCCATTGGATTCCGAGTGGAAAATAAAGCTTTAAAAGCAAGCTTCCATCTTGTTCTCCATATAATTTCCAGCTGGCTACACCACTTCCCATAAACGTTTACTTCCCCCCAACGAGAATTCCTCTATGTCACCCTCGGACATACTCCCAACGCGTTGTTTCTCGTTCCGGCTCCAATCGAGGGCCTCCTAGGAACAGTCACTCGGCGGTCTGCACCGCGTATGTTTGTGTAACACTGGATATTAATCAACCGTGAAGTTCACATCCTCTAGAGTCTTCTTATTGGCTCAACGTATGCTTGGTCCAGTTCACATTAATTATGGATATCACTAGTGGTAGCATGCAGCATTGTTTTACTTTTTTCTTCACTTCAAAGGCTTCAATGAGTTTCCTGTTATGAACCACTTAACATGTGGTGCCATCGTATAACCTCTGAATGAAGTTGATTAAGGCTTGTCACACTCCCGTATGTTGAAGCAGTCTCCAAGTTAGTTTGCTATCAACACTTTCGAAGGCCTTTTCGAAGCCGATGAACTTGAAGTGGAGGTTTGACTACCATTCTATACTCTGTTCGATGATAATTTTATTTTATTTTTTATTTATTTTGATTACAGCTTGATGACACACCGTATTTTCTGTACAAGTATGGAATTTTCGGCATGGATATCGGTAGCCCAAATTTTACAGGCCGACCATAGATATCGGGTGTGCGTCGGCAGAGGATCGAACCCCGGACCATGTGCATGGTCGGCGAGAGTCCTAACCACTGTGTAAACTTATAATTTGATCAGCGCATTATCTGTTTTTCTCGAATTCAACTTGTTCTAGGCGGTTTTGCATGCATAGCGTCTCTTCGTCTCTCCAGGATGACATGATTTATTATTTTGTTTGGTATGGATAGGAGCATGTCTTCGCTTCTGTTTGCGCAAAAAGGGCTGTGTAGCTCAGCAAGGTCACCTTTCTTTCAATCAGTTATCACTGCTTCCAGAGGAATTCCATCTGATCCTGATGTCTTCCTAATTTTAAGTATATGTTTACCATTTGGAACTTGTAATGTATCAACTGACGAAACCTACGTCACTTGGTGTATGTTACTGTACTTGTGGGTGTGACCCACATCAGAAGATCAGATAGTAGACAGTTGTAACTGCCTGAATTCTGGCTAGTTACTTGGGTGAATTATTAATGTCGAGATTCAAGTTTAGCATTTGCAGATTACATAATATGAAGTGGCAGATTCACCGGTGTCCCCTTTTTCAACCCAAAATATTCAGCAGTGTATATGTATACTATAATGCAATCATACTTGTTAGCTTTACTGAGACTGATGGTAACAAGGAGATCACATATTATGACCTGAAGACTGTTTATTTCCAGAGGAAACCATGATAAATTCTCACTTCGCATTATGTAATTTGAAGGTTGTAAATTTCATCCCATCCCATCTGCTTTCGCATATTCCCAGTACTTGAATTCCGTATCTTTTCATTTCGTTTGCAATCTGGGCAGCTTTGCCAGTCTCGTACATGCTGAGGACGTTCCATGTCCTCACAAAGACTTTTTCTTTTGCCGCAAGGAGACTCATCGTGTTGAAGTTTCTGTAGCACCTTTGTTTACACGGTGGGGCCGCTAGCTTCAGGCCTGAGAGGGGTGGTTTACATGTTTATGTAGTTTACAGGGAAGAGACTTTATGGGTTGCTACCCTTAGAATCAGGAAGACAAGGAATAAAGCGATCAGAACAACACCAGCAAAAGGAAAAACATTCACAACAGGAAGGGCAGCGACAACAACAACAAAAACATTAGCAGTAGTATCACAGTCAAATACAGTTAACAAAAATGATATCAAAACCATAGAATCACTGACTTGGGCCGACTTGGACATGTTAACCCAACAGTATATGCAATGATAGATAGTTGTTAGTGTTGAACAATCACAAAATTCCAAAGACAAGCTTTTACTACTCTCAAGTCTGTGTGGAGGTCAACAGAACTCAGCATCAAAAGTAAGATCCGGATTTTCAACTCAAATGGGAAGTCAGTGCTACTTTATCGACCAGAGACTTGGCGCGTCATGAAGAGCATCTCAAACAAACTACAGACCTTCATCAACAGCTGTCTTCTCTCTATACTACTCAAGATCAGACGGCCAGAAAAGATCAGCAGAAGGCAGTGATATTTGGGAGCCAGTTGTGCAACAAATCTGCAGGAAGAAATGGAGTTGGATTAGCCATACTCTGAGAAAACCATCAAGTGACATCACAAGACAGACTATCGCTCTATTGAAACACTAATGGGAGGCGGTGAGTTAGTTGTTAGTGCGAGGATGACATGGAGGAGGTGATGTGAAGAGGAGATGAAAGCATGTGGGCAGACGTGGAGCCATGTGAAAGGTTAGTAGAGAACCGAACGCAATGGAGACGTTCGGCTGAAGCCCTAGTTTTCTCTGACAACTAAAGGAAACAATAATAATAATAGTAATAAACTTCAATGGCAAATTAACTTAAGAAATATTCACTTTCTAATTGTATCCTCATCAGTGGCTCTACTCTGAAATACGTAACAATTTTAATACAGTACAAAATTCACCAGTTTAATGGCATTGTTGTACTGTAAGTCAGATTGGCAGCTTACAAATAAATAAGCGATTTACACAGTTCGAGGTGTGATTTCATCACAGTTTTCTTTGCAAACTGAAAGTGTTAAAATCACAATATATGATGACCTACTTGATACCATATGTGGTAAGCGAGAAATCAAGTGAGTGAAGTGAAAATTCGATTTATGGTATCATTAGTTCGCCGCCTGAATATCCAGCCGAAACTAAACTGATTCGGCTGTCCTAGTTGGGTCATACCAGGTACGCAGCTGAGTTGATGACCTCTACACGAAACAAGTGAAACTGCTGTCCACTGGCTAGCATATATAATACTAGTTGACATACAACCACTACTTAACCCAATCAATCAGTAGTGAGTATTGGTTTATTTTATTGTGTTGTATTAAAGACTATAGCCAACGACAAGGATCTCATTGTAAAGTAATTCATTTTTTTCATTCAATTTATTGTTTTCTTCTTCCAGCGCCAATCACCATCAACGGGAGGGATTTGAAAGAGGTTACTTCACTCACTTATCTAGGTAGGGAGCACTGTCTCAACTACAGGCACATGGAACGGACGAGGATGTCAAATCGAGAATCGGGAAGGCGAGAAACACATTCATCAACCTGAAACCAATCTGGAAATCTTCGTCAATCAGCACCAACAACAAAATGATTCGGATTTTCAATACAAACGTCAAGTCAGTCAGTTCTTCTATACGGACCAGAAACATGGCGGCGGGTCACAAAGAACATTTCCAACAGCCTGTTGCAGACCTTTATCAACAACTGTCTTCGTTCTATACTCAAGATCAGATGGCCGGAAAGAATCACCAACAAGAAACTATGGGAACAAACAAACAAAACAAGAACCAATCGCCCAACAAATATGTAGTAGAAAGTAAAGATGGATTGGACACTCATTGAGGAGGCCGTTGGGTGACATCGCGCGTCAGGCCAATGCTCGAGTGGAATCCGAAAGGGAAGTGGCGAGTGGGACGTCGGTGCAAGGGTGACATGGAGGAGATCGTGTGTGAAGAGGAGTTGAAACAGTATGGAATAACATGGATGCAGGTGAAAAGTACGGCAGAAGACAGAAGCAAGTGGAAGCGTGCATTTGAAGCCCTATGTTCCACTAGGAACCCAAGGGAACAATAATAATAATATATATGTCTAAATAGGGAATTTTGTTGACTTGTAAATTAAACTCATGGTCTATCACATATTGATTCATGTGTAGAAAAGGATGTCATCATTACAGTGAGATTTTATTAACTCCTATTTGTACGGAGAAAATCAACTAATCAGGTGAAACAATAAATAAACTTGAATTGAATGTTTATTTTTTTTCCAATCTTGAATTAGTGTACATTTCAAGCCTAAATTATAGAAGAATTCACAGTTTATACCACATATATATGCATATATCTCAGTGCATATGGAGGGTTGTTAGACGGTAGTGTTCCCTACTTTTATTTCGAATTAAAATCCCGGTCTTTGTGCCTTTACACTCAGACGAACTGAATGTTTTATGAAGATTTCAGTTGTGTTTGAATGAATATATATGTGTATATATATATATCTTCAGCCTCTAATTTGGCGTCTAATAGGAATTTTCTTCCCTTGTTTACTGCGTTAATTTTGGCGCCATCAAGTAATAATTAAGCTAAACTAACAATAGTGTACATAGTGTTGTACTATGTGTGTAAACAGTTTTACTCTCCCTGTGGTTACAGTAATAAAATGTATTGGTGCGTAGATAGGTAGGTATACAGGTATACAGGTAGTTACGCATTCTTAAGAAATAACTTTAGGCCAGAAATACATGATACTCTCTTCCTATGTCTACTAATTTATATATGTTAGTAACGATGATTTTTGAAATACTGTACTTATGGAAGAAATTAAATATTATGTGGTGTGATAGTTTTACACCCACCTACATATATATATGTAACCTGTATAGATGAATATATAAATCCTGTTGAAAGTTTGACATCCCACACACACTCACATACACACACAAACATATACATTAGTGTTATCTGTGTGGCACAACATATAGTAGTATATCAACATGTACTATCAAATCTCCACGCACTGATTTATTCATACACCCGAATTGAAATATATCCATGTTATGTATATATATATCTATGGTAATATTTACAGGCGCCAGATTTAATTTTTGCCCAATGATGATAACAGATAACTAACTACTAAAAGGGAAAGAGGTCATTTATTGTAACACTTTTGTGTAGTAAAAGTTAATCTCACAACACTTATAATTGGTTTAACAATATTTAATTTGATCAAAATTAGATTCTTCTATGTATATTTCCTTTTAGTATATAAAGAGAAGTAATTTGTTTTTTTCTAAAACACAAAAAAATAAAACGAAACTAGAGAACATGCGTTCACTATAAAAGAAGAAGTATAAAAGTATAAATGATCAGGGCATATTGGAACATTGACACATTGAACAGGCGAAGAATGTGTAACGCATACTTTAATTAAAAATAAATTCACTTTTATAATAAAAATATATATTATGCATAAACATTTTATACACTATTTATCAATGTTTACCTTTCTACAAATGTTTATTATAATTATACTTAGTTTATTATCATTTCTACCAAATTATACAATATCTCATCAGCATTCATCCATATTGACAAAAAATAAAACAGCATTACACTTAGATGAGGCGAAGGGAAAAAAACAAATTGGCGCATTACATGAAATTATGTTGAATGATCAAAATATCACTACTGGTCATTGGTTTAATAAAGGCATGGCATATAAAAAATGTGTTCAATCATTACAACATGATAAAGGCTATTTTGAAAAACAGCTAAAAGATTGTGAAAAATATTCTGGTCGAATGTCAATGGATAAAATTGATTTGATTAAACCTGATTATGAAGCATTAGTGAAGAAAGTTGTCTGTGTAATTCAGAAAATTAATTGTCCAGTGAATGAAAGATCATTTCAGGTAGGTGAACATTTTTGGCTTTACTTTCATTATTGTTTTTTTTTTTTGTTATTGATATCAGTTTATACGCTTAAAATAAAAAGTATCCAGTCAGCGAACACTCTCTTGGGTTAACAGGAAGAGATGGCCATTTTTGATCAAATGGAATGGGGTAACAAGTGGGTAAAATGAAGCGTGAAATTCTCACTTTTTGCTGAATTTTTCCAACTTTCACCCACCTTGTCATTCACTTACTTCCTTTTTATGCATTTTGTTACAAGAAATAATTAACCACATTTGCGCGCATTTTTTCCACGTTTTCAAAAATGGCCAAATTAGGCGCTTTTTTCACACTTATTTTTATTATTGTTCCCTTGGGTTCCTAGTGGAACATAGGGCTTCAACTGCACGTCTCCACTTGTTTCTGTCTTCTGTTGTACTTTTCACTTGCATCCATGTTAGTCCATACTGTTTCAACTCCTCTTCACACGATCTCCTCCATGTCACCCTTGCACTGACGTCCCACTCGCCGCTTCCCTTTCGGATTCCACTCGAGCACTGGCCTGACGCGCGATGTCATGCAGTGGACTCCCCAGCGAGTGTCCAATCCATCTCCACTTTCTCCTGCATATTTGTTGGGCGATTGGTTCTTGTTTTGTTTGTTTGTTCCCATAGTTTCTTGTTGGTTCTTGTTCTTTCCGGCCGGCCATCTGATCTTGAGTACAGAGCGAAGACAGTTGTTGATAAAGGTCTGCAACAGGCTGTTGGAAATATTCTTTGTGACAGACTGGCCAAGCTTCTGATCCGTATAGCAAAACTGACTTCACGTTTGTATTGAAAATCCGAATCATTTTGTTGTTGATGCAGGCTGAGTGACGGAGATTTCCAGATTGGTTTGAGGTTGATGAATGTGTTTCTCGCCTTCCCGATTCTCGATTTGACACCCTCGTCCGTTCCATGTGCCTGTAGTTGAGACAGTGCTCCCTACCTAGATAATTGAGTGAAGTAACCTCTTTCAAATCCCTCCCGTTGATGGTGATTGGCGCTGGATGTTGCTGCTGTTGTTGTTGTTGTTGGTTGGTTGTTTCCATAACCTCCGTCTTGTCTATGTTCACCTGGAGTCCTGTCTTTGCTGCTTCTTCGACTAGTTTGTCGGTTTTCACTTGTAAGTCTTCGATGTTTTGTGACATCAAACATAAATCATCCACACGCGAAATCCAGGTCTTCTATGTTCTTCACGTTGGTCCAGGATATCCCCGTCTTCTCGTTTCTCACTGTCTGACGCATAATCCAGTCCACCACAATTAGGAATATCATTGGTGATAATAAGCACCCTTGTCTGACTCCTGTGTTTATTCCAAACGCCTCACTGAGTTTTCCGTTGTGGATCACTTGACATGTGCCGTTGTCGTACAGCTGTTGAATAAGGTTGATGAATATTTGGGGTACGCCGTAGTACATGAGTAGTTTCCAAATTACTTCACGGCCAACGCTGTCGAAGGCCTTCTCAAAGTCTATGAAGTTGAGGTAGAGGTTTGATTGCCATTCCATGCTTTGTTTTGTGGTGATGATGCGTAGAGTAGCAATTTGGTCAGAACATGATTTGCCTTTCCTGAATCCAGCTTGTTCTGGTCGGAATTCTGAATCCAGTGCGTCCTTTATTCTCTCCAGGATGATGCGACTCAAGATTTTACTTGGCGTCGACAGGAGTTTTTTTTGCACTACTCATGTCATTTCTAGAAATACTCCACTTTTTGTTTGCATTTTATCCAATTTTGAAGGGAACGCTTTCCATTTTATACATATTTATAAAAAATAAATTCTCCGACTGTGTATTCATTATTATAATTAATCTTTTGCGTTCTAAGTGGAATTAGTGGCTTCAGTGGTACATCACCAATTCAATCTGTTCTCTGGAGACATTTTAAGCTAGAGCCACGATCGTTAATAAACTTTTATTTCCTCTTTATTATACGACCTGATTAGTAACACCCTTGGACCCACGCTCAACGTGTTATTTCGTATTTGGGTTTCTTTCTTGAGTCTCGTGAGTGACCTGATGAGTTATTAGTTAGTTATCCTTTACTCTGCAAGTGTTTCTTTCTGTTTATCTTTTCTGGCTATCTAATGCTTTTTCTATAGTTTGGTTTGTAAGGGTTAGTTATGTTTTTACGAGTTGATCACGGATTGATATCAGTTAGAGAACCATTGAAAACCAAGGAGTACTGGACAGCTGCTGTTTCATCCTAGTTTGGGAATCATCGGCAGTGCTGACCCAAACTAGGATGATACAGCAGCTGTCCAGTACTCCCTGGTTTTCAATGGTTCTCTAACTGATATCAATCCGTGATCAACTCGTAAAAACATAACTAACACTTACAAACCAAACTATAGAAAATTAATCTGATGCTCGCTAGTGACTTGCTACAGGATGGAGTTTCCTGGAGTTCTAGTGAAAAGTCGTGACGAGTGAGGTCCAATTAGATGTCACGTGTGTGGATGGATGTCCTACCAACGACAATGGTTGGGGTCGCGCTAAATCACGAATTGGTAGAAGTTAGAGTTTATGAGCCATTGAGTCGGGTCCCAGTGGCTGAATGGTATACGAGCCAGCTTGCCTTGTAACCGGAAGGTCCTGGGTTCGAATCCCAGTGGGTGCGTACTGCCGATGATTCCCAAAACTAGGATGAAACAGCAGCTGTCCAGTACTCCCTGGTTTTCACTGGTTCTCTAACTGATATCTAATGCTTCCAAGAATAATTCGATGGATTGGAGGAAATATTTACAAGGAAGCTTTCCATTGTTTAAGCGAATGTTAACACTGAAGGAAGAAAAAAAAGATGATAGCTTCATGATTAAGACATTCAATTCAGGATGTAACAACACAGAGGAATCATCCACCTGAGTGAGCTATGAATCCTCTTCATCTTTCCGATGACCACCTGCCCCTGTGTACACATAAAGTGAGGGTAAGTAGGCGGTTGACTATTGTATTTGGTAAATCTCAGTATACCATTCTGACTGTTTATACGAATAAACCTGAAACTAGTTTTTTCAATATTTCGATATCTGATTTGTTGGGATATGTAGATTTTTTTACAAAATTAGAGAAATACTACTCAAATTATCAATATTTTGTATTGCATTTAGTCGTGTAGGAAAATAGTTATTTAATGAAACTTTAGAGTACATAATTTCTGCGACTTTCATAGGTGTACTGTTGTTATTACTCAGTGATATGTTTATATCTTCCACACAGTTGAAAAATTAACTTAGTATAGACATTCCCTTTTCCCAACCTTTACAAGACTATTTGTATACTAAATTTTTGTTTAGATTTTGGATTTTTGAGAGTTTGATTCTCCTGAATGTAGACTGCGTAACCAGTTCTGATATCAGTTAGGGAAGCATGGGATAGGATGAGTCAGTATGAACAAGTGTTTCAATTGTAGTCTGAGAATATTCAGCAGTTCACATATCATTATTATTTCTTGTGTAAACGTCTTCCTTTCGAATATATAATTCAAAATGAACTTTATTATTGACTAACATTGTCACGAGAATTTCAAGAAAAATTCATACGGTACTTGTTTTCATACCATATGAGTTTCTGTAAATGGTTAATACGTTTAAACAAACCCAATTTACTATGCCTTGTTTCGTTGTAGTAAAGGGAAAGTGTGCAACACTTTGCAGTGATTAACGCTTTCAAGAGATGTACCACATATAATAGCCTAATTACTTCTGGTAGGAAGTAATCTTAGTGATCACCTCGACAGCTGAAATTACAGTATCTGACAATATGTTTTGAAAAGTAGTCATTGTTTCATTTTTTCAAGTATTGGTTTGGTAGGGATTTTGTTTAATTGCATGGAGGATTTCATCATGAGCTGACGTCAGTTAGAGAACCACTGGAAAACCTGGGAGTACAAAATCCCTACCAAACCAATACTTGAAAAAATTAATCTGATGCTCACTAGTGACTGGCCCTATTCAGGCAGTTAACCTGGGGTTCTAGTGGGAAGCCGTGACCAGTAGGGTACAGCAGGTTGAAGATGAGGCAGTAACTCATCGAAGAAGACATTGAGAAATGGTCGCGCTATGTCGTGAATTGGCAGAAGTTAGAATTCAAGGACCATTGGATCGGGTCCCAGTGGCTAAATGGTCTACGAGCTCACCTTGTAACCAGAAGGTCCTGGGTTCGAATCCCGGTGAGCGGGTACTGATGAAGAGTCCCAAACTAGGACGGGAGAAACAGCTGTCCAGTACTCCCAGGTTTTCCAGTGGTTCTCTAACTGATGTCAGCTCATGATGAAATCCTCTATGCATTGTTTCTTTGTCTGAAGACACGTTAAGTGCATGACTGTGAGGGTTACGGTCACAGGGGAGTCCTCGAAGAAGGGAAGCTGACTTATAGAAATTAGAAATGAACTAGAGTTGTCAAGACAGTGATTGCTATGGGTGGTTAGAGACAGCTGGATTTACTTCCAGTGAATAATGTCAAGCATTTTTCTTCTTGCTGAGTAGTAGTAGGAGGAGTAAGGAAAGACGGGTTACTGCTCATTGTTGGGGTCAGTGGTTTTCCTAGACAAGATCTGCATGAAATCAATCAAATCATTGCAAACTTAATGTCTGAATATCACTCAACTGCTGATTTTTCACTCGGTCGGTCGGTCGCTCGATTTTTGACATAGAACTTTGCACATATGTGCGGCAGTTCAAGTCGCCACACTCCCTCCATGTAGCACACAAAGCAAGAGAAGAAATTAGAAGAAATGCATAATAGAGACAGTAAACAGAGGAGTGAGACAAAGGAATAGTAATAACGAAGAACAAAACAATTTCATTGGAAATCATCAGTCACAAGGAGTGGATGCATCTGCACCAGCCATTGACAACGATTTTGAACTATGTCACGAATTGTTTCCAACCTTTGGTTTTTACCGTCCCGAGGATTCCAACCAGTCAGGAAGTCTACACCTTCCTACGTGTCTTAGACTAACTGTAGTGGATTTCATTGA